ACAATATGATTGCCTATAGCAGTGAATTTCACTGCCGTAGGCAAGCATTTAACTGAATAAAATTGATTAATTCAGTGCTTTTTGTTGTGATTAACTGTGATGAACTGTCACATGACACAGATAGGCTGTGATTGGTCCAACCTGTACCATGTGATCACTGTGACCAATTAGCAACACAATTGTATACAATAGATGGCATTAAAGGAAGCCATCCTTTGTTTACAATTGTCATGTGACCTGCTGTGATTGGTCAGAAAGGTCACATGGTACCGGCAACGTGGCTACGCAGGCAAGCACAAGACAGTGATTCGGAAAGATGTCATATGACACCCCAGATTGATGAAAGTCCCGCTCGGCTGTCGTTTTGCTATTGGCCGGGTGGGAACTTGATAATGAAGTATTTCAGGTATGGTATATTTTTTTTTTTTTTACATATAACTCAAAAATAGTGCTGAGCTTCCAATTTAAATACAATTAAACACTTCTGCTCAACACATCAAAATATACTTTACACAACATCAGATAAAATGAAATAAAGTCCCAAAAGATTCCTCCTGTTTGCTTCTCAAATGTTCATAGATATAAATATACATATAAATATTCTCTTCTGTACCCTTAGCGTCTTCTATATTTCTATATCACACTTGTGTTGCACTTCCACCAGCTTGAGCTTTTGACCTTACATATAATGCTAGGTCAAAAAGTGCTTGTGTCCCTTTAATTGGACTTTATAGTATAGCCTCCTCATCCCCCCCCCCCCCCCCCCCCCCGAGAAAAGATCAACTTGTTCTGTTAGACATAGATCAAATCCTCCATTCAAATAGCAAATAGGCAAAAGATAATCTTATATCCTTAAAAAACTCTTTATTTCCTCATTTAAAACAGTACAGAAAACCACTCACGTTACTGGTGCTCGGTCACACCAGATATAGCCAGCAATTAAAGTACAGTATATACTGCAACCTCGTGTTTATCAGTCCGCTATCCTCTGCAAGTGTCGTGACATCATCAGGGGGATATATCATATATCCCCCTGAGGAAGCCACGTGACCCTGTGGCGTAATGCGTAGGGGAGGGACTTGATGAAGTCACGATGCTCGCGGAGGATAGCAGGCTGGTAAACATGAGGACGCACTACATATAAATAGGAGTATGTGAAGGGTGTGGGCAGCTTTCATATAGGATTAGTATTGTGTGATCACAATAGAGGATGTTTAGTTTTTTTGTTATTTTGCACAGAGCAGCTCACAAGACTATATACATTAACAGTTCAATATTTTTTTTACATAGTCACATTGGACCAGTTTGGACCAATGTAACTATGCATATATCCAGAGCTTTCTTTTGGTTGCAACATGGTGGAACAGAGTTCTGCCACCTCCAGTGCTGGCCATGTGCCTGACGCTCACTACTGCCACCTGAAAAACACAGAAGCCTAGCTTTTGTGTTTAAAAAGGACAGTGCATCTCTCCCAGTGACTCCACAGAACCTACCCTGCCCTGCACATCCCTATTACAGCAGAGGAGATGGTGGGGGATATACACAACTGCACTAGTCTGGCAGCAGCAGCTCCTTCGGAGGTAAGTTGTAGCTGCTCTTCTATAGCAGCCTCTCTCTGATGCTCTCAAGGAGAAGGTTTGGGGGTGGGAGGAGAGCTGTCTACTGGGGAAGGAGACAACTTGGAGGGGGGCGGAATCATTATTGGTTGTAAAGTGGCATGTGTAATATGCATTCCTGAACCCTGCACTCTGTACATAACACACTCCTGAACCCTGTGCTCTGTACGTAGTCCACTCCTGAACCATGCACTCTGTACATGGCACACTCCTGAATCCTGTACTCTGTACGTAGCACACTCCTGAACCCTGCACTCTGAACGTAGCACACTCCTGAACCCTGTACTCTGTACGTAGCACACTCCTGAACCCTGCACTGTGGACGTAGTACACTCCTGAACCCTGCACTGTGGACGTAGCACACTCCTGAACCCTGCACTCTGGACGTAGCACACTCCTGAACCCTGCACTCTGGACGTAGCACACTCCTGAACACTGGACGTAGCACACTCCTGAACACTGCACTGTGGACGTAGCACACTCCTGAACACTGCACTGTGGACGTAGCACACTCCTGAACACTGCACTGTGGACGTAGCACACTCCTGAACCCTGCACTCTGGACGTAGCACACTCCTGAACACTGGATGTAGCACACTCCTGAACACTGCACTGTGGACGTAGCACACTCCTGAACACTGCACTGTGGACGTAGCACACTCCTGAACACTGGATGTAGCACACTCCTGAACACTGCACTGTGGACGTAGCACACTCCTGAACACTGCACTGTGGACGTAGCACACTCCTGAACCCTGCACTCTGGACGTAGCACACTCCTGAACCCTGCACTCTGGACGTAGCACACTCCTGAACACTGGACGTAGCACACTCCTGAACACTGCACTGTGGACGTAGCACACTCCTGAACACTGCACTGTGGACGTAGCACACTCCTGAACCCTGCACTCTGGACGTAGCACACTCCTGAACACTGGATGTAGCACACTCCTGAACCCTGCACTCTGGACGTAGCACACTCCTGAACACTGGATGTAGCACACTCCTGAACACTGCACTGTGGACGTAGCACACTCCTGCACTCTGTACGTAGCACACTACTGAACCCTGCACTGTGTACATCACACACTCCTGAAGTCTGCATTCTGTACATAGCGCACTTGTGAACTCTGCACTCTATATGTAGTGGCAGGGGGCATGGTTGAGTTCCTGCACCTATTCTCCAAAAAAATACCCTGCATATGCCATACTTGGCTGATCCTGGAAGCTGGAATCACTGAAGCAAACACCGTTACTCAAGTGATCTCCACTTGCCTTCCAGGTTCTGTATCAAGCAGTTGCCCTGATGAATTCAGAACACAGGAGGTTGGCCATTTGGCACCAGCGCCATTTAGAGAATGCTTTGCAATTTCTAAATGAATGCAATGCGCTCTCTGATTGGATGAGGTGGAGAGGTGGGGTGTTGATGTCACGCTCTCAACGTTGCCCAGTCAGAGAATGTATGCAAGGCACTCTCTAAATGGCACCTGTCATGTGTTCACAATGCAACAGGGCAGCCAGTTGGCATGGGACCTGGATGTCAGTGGAAATTACGGGAGTAGCGATGTCTTTGTCCATTTGTCGTACTGTGGGAATAAATATTCCTAAATTGCATAATATCAGTTGTGTGTACCTTGTAAAATAGAATAAACCTGAAGCAAAGCCATCTGTAAGCATTTTCTGCAGAAATCCTAAACAAGGGATTTAAAACTGCAAAATGCTGTGTAAGACATTTGAAAAGAATCAGCTGACAGTACTGAGAATTTTGTGTTCTTCATTAGGTCTGTGTCTGTTAAAAGGCAGGAGAAAAATTGAACACAGAATTTTTCCTTTAGGTGTTTACTCATCTTTACTCTGTCTGGTCATAAATCCAGATACAAAAAAATGAAAGCAGAACTCCAGGCACAAACACGTCCTTATACTTTCTTAAAAATAAGTTACTTCTGGGCAGGTGTGTTGGACTGTAAAGAGAAGCGATCTTTACAGTTAAAATAGTATTGAACCCTCAGCTTTTTTTTTTTAGCTTAACACATTGAGCACAATAAGATAAACATTCCCCAGTAAACTCTGTTAAAACTCATGCCACAGCACTTTCAGTTCACAACCCTCAATGCTGCTGGTTTCTGCTCTCTCAGTACAGCTTCCCCGAACATCTGGTCTTCACAGGAAAGAGTTAACAGTGGGCAGTGCATTCTGGAGCCAGTCTGTTAGGCCTCTTTCACACGGGGCAGACTCTATCAAACAGATCCGCCTGCTCAGCAGCCCACTGTTCTTTATGGGCAGGGCAGATGTAAACGGACTGCCTGTCCGATTGCATTTGACTGTCATCCAATCCGCTAGACGGATGGGGGAACAGATCCCAATCCGTCTGTTTTTTTGGCAGACGGAATCAAATTGGATGTGGATCTGTTCCCCATCCATCTAGCGGATCGGATGACAGTTGAAAGTAATTGGACAGGCAGTCCGTTTACATCCGCCCTTCCCATAAAGAGCAGTGGGCTGCTGAGCAAGTGGACAAACACATGTCCCTTTACATTTTCTTCCCCATAGAGAACAATGGGTGGTCTGATTGGGTCTGCCTGAAAAACTGACAAGCAGACCTCAACGATCCACATGTGTGAAAGGGGCATTAGTTTGGAGAAGGGAGAGGGAGAAGCATTGGGAGTGTCTTCCACTCTAGGCTATGGGGCTGTGTATTTCTTTTGATGCACACAGTGTACGGACACACAACTTTAGTCCCTAAAAGCAAGTGTGGGGACATAGAATGCTGCAAAAGTAAGAAGCCAAGCCACCCTGACACAGGAAATCTGGGACAGCAGTCATGACACCAGCTTACACAAGAACATAGGCAAGGATTAAAAAATAAAGAAGCTTCATACTCAGTAAGTAAATAAATCAGCTGCTGAAAGTAAAAAACGAAAAAAAAAAAGCTGACGGTTAAATAGCATTTTAATTCATGAATTTTTATATGCTGGAAAATATAGCAGCTGCTGTACTTCTGGAGCACTGCTGGTATGAGATTTGTGGCTGCTATACGCAAAAGCTGTTCTGTCATTTATCTACTCCCTCCTCTCCCTTTCTTCCATTCCCAGAAAGTCTTGTATTTTGTGAACCAAGGATCACTTCCCTGTATGAGAGCCGCAGGTGTCATGCCCAAAGCACTATGGAAATACAGTAGTAAGCAGGGGCGGACTGACCATTTCGAAACTAGGGCACTGAACTAGGGCCCGGGGTCAGTAGGGGGCCCCATGAGATGCCTGATACCTTTTTCATAGGCTTTTTTGAGTTTGGGCAAGGACACAGGGGCGGCCCCATGATCCCCTATTGCCCGGGGGCCCCATGAGTTGTCAGTCCGCCCCTGATAGTAAGTGTACTTGCATATACAAATGTATGATGATTGCTACTATTTACAGTCCACCAAGCCTAAAGGCAACTTTTTTTAACTAGGAATTTATATAGATATGTTTGTACCTGGGATCGTTCTCCATTCTCAGGACACAGTCCAATAAAATTCTATAAGGTTGTAATGTGCAAGTGCAGCCAGGATATAAACAATTATTGGCATCCGCGGCCCTCGGATCAAGTTAAGTATGCATCCGTGGAGGGAAGAGTGTGCTAGTGTAGGTCAGGATCAGGTCTTAACATTCAAACTAAGGGCTTGTCTCAATGACATCAGTTTGAGATGCTTTTGAGATCATTGAGAATTCACTGACAGGTACATATGACCTGCGATAGACCTCCTGAGAGGGTTTTGCATTCCCATAGACTCATCTAATGGGAACAAGAGCCCAGGCCCTAAAGCTGATCCCCATCTGCTGGTTGCCTGGCTGTTATACTGACCCACCAGCTACATTACTTTCTCAGCCAAGAAACTGGATTAACCACTTGCCTACCGGGCACTTTTACCCCCTTCCTGCCCAGGGCAATTTTCAGCTTTCAATGCTGTCGCAATTTGAATGACAATTGCTCAGTCATGCAACATTGTACTCATATCATTTTTTTTTCACACAAATAGAGCTTTTTTTGCTGATGTTTAATCACCACTGGGTTTTTCATTTTTTCATAAACGAAAAAAGAGCAAAAAAAAAGGGTTTCTTTGTTTCTGTTATATAATTTTGCAAACGTAATTTTTTTCCTTCACTGATGTGCGTTGATGGGACTGCACTGATAGGCAGCACTGATGGCCACTGATGAGGTGACACTGATAGGCTGCACTAATGGGCACTGATAGACTGCACTGATGAGGCAGCACTGATGGGCATTGATGAGGAGGCACTGATGATGCTGCATTGATATGTGGCACTGATGGGCACTGATGGCACAAATTGGTAGCACTGTTTGGAACTGATGGGTAGCACTATTTGGCACTGATGGGCACTTTTGCAGCTGATTATCAGTGCAGATGTCTCCTTTAACAGTTGCCTGTTATCGGCAGTACTTTCCTCACGCTGTGACAGTGTGAGGAAAGTACTGCCCAGGGTGGGACTGACCATTTGGAAACTCGGGCACTGCCCAAGGGCCCGGGGTTAGTGGGGGGCCCCATGAGATGCCCCTTGTCACGATCACGGCGTCAGACCCCAGACCTTTCTCACCAAACACGTGACCTAAGGACCGGCCGATCTAAAACCGCGATGTGACGTGCATAACAATGCCACACCCAGCTGCACCCTACACAGCGATTTTCCAGCTAATGGTCAACCAATCGATGTCCCGTCAGCCTGAGCGATTGTTACTGGGTCGGGTTAATTAAGCAACTAACCCTTCACTGCCACTACACCTTTTTGTACAGAGAAAGGGGAAACTCTCTTTATCAAATATACACTGTAATGGTTGAAAAGTCGTCTGTCCAATACGGTCACCGCAGGCCGATTGGGCAGAGGATTAAACAAACACAGTAGCGTCTCTTTAGAGGCAGGAATTCGTAAATTGCAATTAAGTGCTTTAGAAACTGTTTAACACTTTCAGAAAGAAAGATTTATTACTAAAAGAGTCAAACAGGTGCAATAAAATATTTAGAGAAAAAGATGTAACTAAGATATATATATATATATATATATATATATATATATATATATATATATATATATACACACACAAAGAACCATAGCACAGCAGAGAGATAATAGGAAGGAAGTTAAAGGGTTAAGTTACTTGTTATTTAAGCCTTTGATGTAAGCAGATCCAAGTTGCAGAGCAGAATGGTGCTTTGATCTCCCGCTGTTACGATGGAAAAAATGGGAGAAGTCTTCAACTAACTTTTTAGGCCTGCTAGCCTGTGTTTTAAAGTCCCCCAGCAGGGCGGTGGCTCTGAGTAACTGACCAATACCCTGTTTAGGGAGGGATCGTCGGGCGGACTCTGAATTAGAACCAACATCTTCATAATCCATGATATGAAACATAGGGGACAAACTGACTTGAGGAATGTTAATTTAATTCTGTCACCTACGCTGCTAGGTTTTGAGGTTACAATCTCTTTCAATTCCTGGGAAAAGCTGCCTTATCTCGGTTACGAAGTGAGAAATTACACATGTTCTTGGGCAGCTAGGCTCTGTCTCTCTGGGGGGGGTGGGTTTGTAGCTCTGGGCCCCCTGCTGCTCTACCTGCCAGTGACACTTTTAACACACACACATCTGTCACTGTGCCTCTCAGGAAGGGAGGGGGAAGGAGAATAAGAAATGAGAGACACAATATATACTCCATACCAAGATGGAGGTGCCTACAAAATGGTTGAACTGCGTACTTCACTGTGTTTTGCGCAGTTTTTTTTGCGACACCCCTGGTACCTTTTTCATAGACTTTTTTGAGTTTGGGCAAGGACACAGGGGCCCCATGATCCCCTATTGCCCGGGGGCCCCATGAGTTGTCAGTCCACCCCTGGTACTGCCAATAACCAGTAAGTGTATTTACATGGTGGTCAGCTGTGATTGGACACAGCTGATCATGTGGTCTAAGGCCGCTTGGCTTTTTACCATGTCGTGATCAGCTGTGGTGTCTAAAGGACACAGCGATCAAAGCAACGCCGGTGTGTGCCACTGGGGCGCGCTCTGGGAAGATGTCATATCGGCTATAATGCAGTAGGGAAGTGGTTACAGGAATGGATCAATCTGTCCAGTGAGGAGGAACAGAGTCGCTGTTCTTTTGCAGACTGCTGGGTCGAGATCGGTCTCAGCTAAGTATAAGCAGGGGCTGGGGGGAATCCTCTGCAACAAAGGGGTTTTTACCCTAATGCATAGAATGCCTTAAGATAAAAAAAACCTTATAGTGGTTTTAAACCCTCACATATACCAAGTGAAGTGACTGGCCTCAAGTGATACACAGAGATTAAATACAGTTGCAAGAAAAAGTATGTGAACCCCTTGGGATTACGTGGAGTTTTGCATGAATTGGGCATAAAATGTGCTCTGAACGTCATCTAAGTCACAACAATAGAAGAACACAGTCTGCTGAACATAATACTACACAAACATTAGATGTTGCCATGGTTTAATTGCACATAACATGTAAACATTCACAATGCAGGGAGGAAAAAGTATGTGAACCTTTGGACTTAATAACTGGTTGACCCTCCTTTGGCAGCAATAACCTCAACCAAACGTTTCCTGTAGTTGCAGATTAGACCTGCACAACGATCTGGAGTACTTTTGGACCACTCCTCTTCACAAAACTGTTTCAGTGTAGCAATATTCTTGGGATGTCTGGTGTGAATCGCTCTCTTAAGGTCATGCCACAGCATTTCAATCGGGTTGAGGTCAGGACTCTGACTGGGCCACTCCAGAAGGCGTATTCTGTGCTGTTGCAGCCATTGTTTTGTTGAATTACTTGTATGCTTTGGGCCATTATCCTGTTGCATCTCCCATCCTCTGCGGAGCTTCAGTTGGCAGACAGATGGTCGTATGTTTTCCTGCAAAATGTCTTCATAAACTCTGGAATTCATTTTCCCATCAATGACAACAATCCATCCAGGCCCTGAGGCAGCAAAGCAGCCCCAAACCATGATGCTCCCTCCGCCATGTTTTACAGTGGGGATGAGGTTTTGATGTTGGTGTGCTGTGCCTTTTTTTCTCCACACATAGTGTTGTGTGTTCTTCCCAAACAACTCAATCTTGGTTTCATCTGTCCACAGTATATTTTGCCAGTAGTGCTGTGGAACATCCAGGTGCTCTTTTGCAAACTTCAAACTTGCTGCAATATTCTTTTTGGACAGCAATGGCTTCCTCCGTGGTGTCCTCCCCATGTACTCCATTCTTGTTTAATGTTTTCCTTATTGTAGATGTGTCAACAAAAATGTTAGCATGTGCCAGAGATTTCTGTAGGTCTTTAGCTGACACTCTGGGATTCTTCTTTACCTCATGCAGCATTCTGCGCTGTGCTCTTGCAGTCATTTTTACAGGACGACCGCGCCTAGGGTGAGTAGCAACAGTGCTAAACTTTCTCCATTTGTAGACAGTCTGTCTTACCGTGGACACATGAACATCAAGGCTTTTGGAGATACTTTTGTAACCTTTTCCAGCTTCATGCAAGTCAACAATTCTTGATCGTAGGTCTTCTGAATGCTCTTTTCTGTGAGGCATGGTTCACATCAGACAGTGCTTCTTGAAACCAGTAAACCCAAAACAGGTGTGTGTTTTTTTTAAGGGCAGGACAGCTGTCAGCAACACATCCAATATCATCACACTGATTGGAGTCAAGGTTGGCTCACTCCTGGCTCCAATTAGCTCTGGGAGAAGTCATTAAGCTAGGGCCTCACATACTTTTTCCTCCCTGCACTGTGAATGTTTACATGTTATGTGCAATTAAACCATGGCAACATCTAATGTTTGTATAGTATTATGTTCCGCAGACTGTGTTCTTCTATTGTTGTGACTTAGATGATGTTCAGAGCACATTTTATGCCCGATTCATGCAAAACTCCACGTAATCCCAAGGGGTTCACATACTTTTTCTTGCAACTGTAAATCCTCCTACATAAGTTGCACCTGTTTATCTGCAGTATTCTCTTCTATACATCCATTCAAAGTGCTGAATTTAAAGCTTGTCTGAGAGTTCAGAAAAAAAGGGACGGAGAGCTGAAGTTACGCTCTGCAGAGCTCAGTGAGGGGAGCTGTGAAAGTTGATTGGAGGGAAGAGACACAACTCCCCCCCCCCTTCACACAGCATACTGGAACAGAGATGAGGCTGTCAATCTGATGGAGAACCCTCCCCTGTCACCATTTTTCTCTTGGTGTCAGGAAAACATGTCAGAAGTGATTCATGCTGACAGCAGAAGAACTAGGAAGCAGACAGAAATGACACTTGGTGCTCTTAACTGAGACAAGTACTGTACATACTATAAAGGGATATACTTTGTTCATAATTCATGTCTGAGGTTTACAACAACTTTAAGGCCGTAGAAACACTTTAATTTTGGGCAGTGTCTTTTATATACATTTTTTGATACATATTAAAAAATACAGGTGTACCTCAGTTTACGAGCGCCTCGGTTAATGTAATTTTCGCTTTACGAATGAAAATCCATTGAAAAAAAATGCCTCGGTTTATGATTTTTTTCGCAATACTAAGTGTATGTTGGTGCCAATTTTTAAATGCAATTGGCAGCTTTTTTTTTTCTTCACTATAGCTCACAGAATTAGCTGTCACTTTCCCTGGAGCTAAAGGATACTTTGTTTCTTTTATCTCGGGAAACAAACTAAAAGGAAACATTGTTTCTTTTAACTTTGGGAAATAAACTAAAAGGAAACTTTCTTTCTTTCAGCTGGGGGGAAAGTGACAGCTGATTCTCTGAGCTATAGTGAAGGAAAAAAAAAAGCCAGTAATTACATTTAAAAACCAGCACTGACCTATAGTGACAGCGACTTTTTTAAAACTTTTTTTTGATTTCCAGAACAGATTAATTGGTTTTTAATGCATTCCTATGGGAAATCGCGTTTCGGTTTACAAATTTTTTGCAATACGAAACATCCTGGAGAACGCATTAAATTTGTAAACTGTGGTACACCTGTAGTAGTATCAAAGTTCAAAGCAAACATGCTGTGTCACAGTTGTTCTAGACAGGAAGTTCATCCAATTTCTTGGCAATCTGATTAAGCAAGACTAAAGGCCAGACACACAAACTTCTAGAACTTTTGTTATGCAACACCAGTTACACGCCACCTATTAATGATTATCTTACGGCAATATGGGACACAAGCTGTACCAAACACTATCCTGTACTTTCCCCACCCTGCTCCCCAGATGATTTTCACACTATCATTTATCTTCCATGCTATTAGAGTCCTATCAGAAAGCTCATACAGAAATCCACATCAACACGCTCATAGTGCTGGGGGTGGTTCTGCCGAAAACAAAACTTTAGGTGCAATTAAGGGCTCATGTACACTGCAGCTGCTAAACGCACATTCAGGAGTTGTTCAGAGTTTTTTTCAGCAGCCCTTGAACTCTCCCTAATGTTTTCCTATGTGTCCATGTACACATCGTCGTTTACAGTCCTTTACAGGCAGTTGAGTTTACAGTTACTTTTTTTAACGCACCAAACTTGCATTCAGGAGTAGATTTTACTGGCGTTTCAAACACCAGGCGCTTGTAAAAGCAGTTAACCGCGTTTATAAGCGTTTGCGTTTATAAGTGTTTTTTAACTGTTTCATATCTAGATGCTATCCAGAGCCTTTTTTCATCATCATAAATGCATGCAAAGCATTTTCCATGTATTCAAATGGACCCGGTACACCAGCGCAGTCAGTTCCAGGTTTTGCATGAAGGAAAAAATGGTAGAGCGTGCCGCATTATGGTCCTGATGGGATCCATAGTGAATACAACCAGAAAAGACAGGTCATCTCAACACATACTGCTCTCTCTGCTTCTGCTCTCTTTATTTATCTCAAAATGTCTGAAATAGTTAATTTTTTACTATTTCTTCAGTGCATTCTGGGCATCTGGGAAGGTCTCCCGAGGTTATCTTTTAAAAACGCTTCTAAACGCAAACGCGCATAAACGCGGTATGCAAACGGGCTAAACCGGGTCTGGTGTTGGTCAATGTCAGGCTCTCTCGGTGTGTGGGCGGGTCTAGTGTTGGTCATTGTCAAACTCTCTCGGAGGGGGGGTTTGGTGTTGGTCAATGTCAGGCTCTCTCGGTGGGGGGGGTCTGGTGATGGGCAATGTCAGGCTCTCTAGGTGGGGGGGGGTTTGGAGTTGGTCAATGTCAGGCTCTCTCGGTGGGGGGGGGGTCTGGTGTTGGTCATTGTCAGGCTCTCTCGGTGGGGGAAGGGGGGGGGGGTTTGGTGTTGGTCAATATCAGGCTCTCTCGGTGGGGGGGAAAGTCTGGGGTTGGTCAATGTCAGGCTCTCTCGGTGTGCGGGGGGGGTCTGGTGTTGGTCATTGTCAGGCTCTCTCGGTGGGAGGGGTTTGGTGTTGGTCAATATCAGGCTCTCTCGGTGGGGGAAGGGGGGGGGGTTTGAAGTTGGTCAATATCAGGCTCTCTTGGTGGGGGTGGGGGGGGGGGGGGGAGTCTGGTGTTGGTCAATGTCAGGCTCTCTCGGTGTGGGGGGGGGGGGGGTCTGGTGTTGGTCATTGTCAGGCTCTCTCGGTGGGGGGGGTTTGGTGTTGGTCAATATCAGGCTCTCTCGGTGGGGGGGGGGGGAGTCTGGTGTTGGTCAATGCCAGGCTCTCTCGGTGGGGGGGGTTTGGTGTTGGTCAATGTCAGGCTCTCTCGGTGTGGGGGGGGGGGTCTGGTGTTGGTCATTGTCAGGCTCTCTCGGTGGGGGGGTTTGGTGTTGGTCAATATCAGGCTCTGTCGGTGGGGGGGGGGGGGGGAGTCTGGTGTTGGTCAATGCCAGGCTCTCTCGGTGGGGGGGGAGTCTGGTGTTAGTCAATGTCAGGCTCTCTCGGTGTGTGGGGGGGGGGTCTGGTGTTGGTCATTGTCAGGCTCTCTCGGTGGGGGGGGGGGTTTGGTGTTGGTCAATATCAG